ATTTATTTATTTATTCCTACAGTGAACCAGATCTTATTTGACTGTTTTTCATAATGTTGACCATGTTGAATCAAACCTTTATTCAATTAAAGGTTTAATTGAATACAAATATTTAAATGTAGCATTTTTTTCTCCTGGTCTTTATTTAGTATTGGTAAAAAAAACAAAAACGAATGAATAATTATCAATATCAATATGAAACACTTACATCTTGATACATTTTTCTGCCTTCTGTAGAACCAATACAAACACATACAACCATCAATCTCTCAAACAATTTAATAAGTGGCGGTGACTATGTTGAAAATAATGCATTTGGCTTCTCCTGCAGTTCAGGGAGACAGCCTCACACTCTGTCATTTTATAACAATGCTATTAATAATTACAGTCCTTTTTCGCTGACAACCCAATTTATTTGCAACACACAAGGTCAATAAAGTTGTTTCCAAAGCGACAAACTCGTCCTATTCTCGGCCTGAACTTCTTTACATTTTGCTGCGATAAATTCCGACGCAGACAAAAAGAAATGGACTTTTATATCATAAAAGTTTGCCTGGTTGATATTTTTCTTGCCCTAAAAACACATCACATTTCACAGTTCCAGTCCACTGCAGACCCTGTCAGCGGGAGGGAACGCAAAGTAGAGCGGCCACTAATATTATCCGAGACAAAGGGACAGACACAGCACCCAAGGGAGCTGTTGGGTGCATGACGTGTTGCTGCTGTGTGAAATGTAAGATCCGGAAATAGCCTGAAAGCAGATAGTGTCAGACAATGTTGACAATTTTAGTTTTTAGCACTAGGACTCACAGAACAGTCATATTGACGGCTCCCATTAGAATCTATGGAATTCTGAAAAAATCTCATTAAAAAGTGTGTTTGTTTTCTATCAGTTTAGTCTATTACACTGGGTAACAAAAAAATATTTTTTGAAAATAGTCCGGTTTTCCAGCTGAATTAGACTAATTTTGATGCTTTGAGTCCAAAAATGACCTTGGTTTTGCTCAATAAGGTTAGGATTTTTTGCTACAGAAATATTTTTTTTAATTGATTTTGCGTAAAAAACTAATTTCTGCGGATCATCAGCTGAGAAACCCTTGACGTTTTTTTCCGTTTTCCTCAAGAAATAAAAGTCAACGTATCCAAAGTCATTCAGTTTTTATTTACTCCATCAAATTTGATAAGCAGAATTCATAATAACGTAGACGTACATAATCCGTAACACTATGGCTGTATCTCACAAAGTTGACCTGATAGAGCAAAATGCATGTGATATTCGGACTCAGAACACCAACATTAATTCACCAAAATCAGTTGAGAAACCCCTGACCATTTTTTGGCTGTCAACTTGTGTTATTTTTTGTTTACCTTTACAGACTTTTAAAAAGGGCTGAAGCTGGGGAGTATAACTGAAATATAGCAAAAACTGTTCGGTGTAAGGCTAAACTAGGTGTTAGAAGTAAACAGTGTGTTACTATGGTAACTAGCACTGATCAAAAACCAAGTTAAACCAGGACCAGTCCAGAAAAAGCGCCTTGGAGAGAAAGAGCTTTGACTGCACTTAAATGTGTGTTGTGACTGAAAAAGGCTGAATTTGAAATATATATTCAAAGAGGTGGAACTAATAGAACAAGTAGAACTAGAAATAAAATGACAGAAATAATCTACATATAGAGACAGGAAGCCTCACAAAGTTACGAAGACCAACAATGTACATACACCGAGTCAATAGACGACAAAAAACATCAATTCTAGTGTTATTCAAACATGATGATAAAGTTGTTTTTAAATATGAATTATTATAAATTATATTGAGGCATTAACATTTTTAATGATACTACCGACTTCATGTTTTAGAATAGTGCAATGAGTATGAATGGTAAAAAAGTCTTCCCACATGTAACTCCAGATGTTACCACCAGAGGGAGTAGAATTTTTTTTAGTTTTTTCCATTTTCGAAAAGACCAGCTGCAACATCAGACATGTGATTGTGAAGAACGTCGTTTCACGTGAGACATTACCAAAGATCGTTTATGGGCAACACTTTTACTCAGGCGCATCGGAGCCTCCACCCATCACCAACACTCTCTCCTTACATTCAGACCTGTGGTACGTGTATTTAGTGGTAGGGCGAAACTGGAGCACCCGGAGGGAAACCTACGCAGACACAGGGTGAACACACAGAGAGGCCTGGAGGTGGAACCAAACCCGTCTACAGAGGGTTGAATGCGCCTGGTCTTTGAAAAGGCTACGGGATAATGAAGGATCCACTTGTCCAGCATCTCAATCGTGTCCTTGTGGTGTGAAAGTGAGCCGTGCAGATAAGAGGAGGCGTGTGCGACCTCAGAGGAGTCAAAAGCAAGTTCAGGGGTTGAGACTACAGCGTGTGCCGGGAGAAGCAAAGGAGCAGACGCATCGGAGAGGAAGACATGTGACCTTGGATCAATACGAGGAGATACAAACGCTGTCCAAAGTAAAACACTGAATGTTTTTGTTTGTTTGTGCTTTCGATATGACTTATTATTATTATTATTTTTTGAATAATTTATTGAATGTGTTTTTATTAGGGCCGGGACTTTAACGCGTTAATTACGATTAATTAACGCCACAAAAATTAGTGCGCATTTTAATAGCATGTGTTATTTCCACCGCGGAACGTTCCTTACTGGATGAGTTTCAGACGGACCGAATGTACTGAAGCACCAACTCGAGCTCCGTGACTTTTCTTGTTCAAAAGTACATTATTACAAGCATAGACCAACTTTAGCGGTGTCTAAATCAAATAATTACTTCTCAGTTTTCAGGACAAATATTTATATGCGATTAAAATGGAATGGATAGATTACATTTTTTAATCGAGTCCCAGCCCTACTTTTTATGTATGTCTTTCTGGTATGGACCTTTTACTCTTGTGCCCGAAATAAAGTATTGAATTGAATTGAATTGAAAAATACATTGCTCAAACACAATTTTATGTTTTTGTTGTTATTGTTCCTTGCGGTTGCAGAAGGGTCTTAGGACAGTGGTGATGATCCAGGAAATTTCACAAACTTTATCAATATCGATAAACATGTATAGATATTAGTCATCCGCCGCTTGTGGACCAATGGCCATATGTGGGTTTTTTAACTATTGCATTTCCTGAGACAAATAGACAAGTTTGTAAAATCCGCAGAGACTACTGTTGAGATTTAGGCCTAAACAGAGTCGAGTCAAAAAGCCCTGTTCAAATTTCCCGCTTTTTAGCTTGAACTGTCGCAGTGTCTTGGAGTTTTTGTGTGCTTTTAAGACTATTCCCAGAACATTATTAGATTCACAATCATATTATCCTCATGTCCTTTCTACTGGCCAACATCCTGCATGTGTTTTTCAATCATGTCACCAGCTCTAGATTTCATTCTGAGGAAGCAGCTGGGGAAAAGAGCACAGTCGTTGCCTTAAAGAATTTGAAGCGACAGCCGAGGACGTGAACAAGCCATTACTTGCATGAGTGGGGACAGATTGGGTCTGATTGTAGACGGGACCAGAGGGCACGCTGTCTGAGCGACTGAGCAGGTATCCCAATAAGTGGAACCTTTACCCAGCAGAACTTTGTGTCGCAATATCGCTCACCACAACAGAACGTGGAGCGGTAAAGACCACCTCGAGTTTGTCTAACTGTAAATCAGTTTGGAGTTTCGACTCAAAAGTGTGATGAGAAAAAGTGAGCGAAAGACAATAGGTTGCGTTTGTGTTTTAGATTTCTAGAGAAGACATTTTGAAAAAGAAAATGTCCTGTTTTCTGGAGAGAGACCCTAAAGAGATACCAAAGAGAGACCAGAGAGAAGGAGACAAGAGAGTGAGGGACAAGAGAGAGACCAAAGAGAAAGACTTGAGGGAAAGAGGCTAGAGAAAGACCAGAGAGAGAGATCAGAGAGAGGGACTAGAGAGAGACTAGAGAGAGAGCACATCTAGACACATTTATGAGAAAATATTCAGACCATAGATGTGCTGACAGAGAAGATTGTTTTCTCTTATTACAGAGAATGACCGTTAACAGGGCATATTTTTTCAATATCTATAATGTTAAACTATAGGCTCTTTGGAAAGTTGTGATGAACGCATATTTGTTCCATATTTGTCCATTAAAGCCACAAACTAAAAAGGAATCTGCTGGGCATCCATTATATATTATCCTGTCTTTGCTGAATGTGTTTAGGATATTTAAAAGCTGTAATGATGATAATATATGATTATTAACTGAGATAGAGACATTTATGATTGCTTATGCGCTGAAGACAATCTATTATTCATAAATACTCGAGATTGGAATGGCTTATAAATGGAAATACCCCTGGCCTCGCTAATAAAGTGTCTTATATTGCAATGGCTTCCCGTGGCTCAGAGAATAGACGTTAAAGCAGCATAGTGCCATATGAACCAACTTGGACTCGGAAGAGCACAGGGACGGGCCTCCTGCTGGTGACTCTGAGGAGCACAGGGACGGGCCTCCTACTGGGACTCTGAGGAGCACAGGGACTGGCCTCCTGCTGGTGACTCTGAGGAGCACAGGGACTGGCCTCCTACTGGGACTCTGAGGAGCACAGGGACTGGCCTCCTGCTGGTGACTCTGAGGAGCACAGGGACTGGCCTCGGCCATAGAAGAATCTTTGTCTGATCTTCAACTGTGGCTATATTTTTTGTTTTAACCAATGTTGTAAATATTTTAAAAGGCACATTTCTATTTCATCAAATATGTGTTGTATTTTTTTATTGCTTGGATTGAACCAAAGCTGGACTAAAGCTGTAGAAAACCCTATCCCTTTGTGAACGGATGAATGTTTTTGATAAATGATTATGAGGCTTAACATGCCAGCGTAGCACTGAAGCTGCAAACCTTCATCAGGTATCGATTCTCATTCATTTTAATTTAGGAAGACAGTATGAAGAGAAAAGGTTTATTCTACAGCACTTTGCCCATGGCTGTTCTTGACAAACATGTGGAGCACTGGCCCACCCACCTCTCCTGATGGCCCATGTCCTGCAGCAGCACCTCCGCGTACTTGGGCCTCTCGCTCTCCTCGGTGATGGCCAGTTTCTTCACCTCGCTGCGGACAAAGTACCAGAACTCCTTCACCCCGTTCTCCACGCGCCTCCGCAGCTCCTCCTGAGTGGGACCTGGGCCTGAGAGAGAGACAGAGAGCCAAATGTGTAAGTAATCAGAAATAACAAACATATTCCAATGTTCCACTTTCTTCTCTCCTTTACAAAATACAGAAATTGCCGGAATACAACTGGCTAATTTCTTTAAACCCTATGTCTTAGAGTTAGAGTTTAACAATGCAGCAAATGTATTTTTATGGTGGTGGAGTATTTCACCAAAAAAATCAGCCGTTGGCTACTCTACTCTACTCTACACCACCCCCCAGCTGTTGTCTACTCTACTCTACTCTACTCTACTCTACTCTACTCTACTCTACTCTACTCTACTCTACTCTACTCTACTCTACTCTACTCTACTCTACTCTACTCTACTCTACTCTACTCTACTCTACTCTACTCTACTCTACTCTACTCTACTCTACTCCCAGCAGCACTCTGCCCAATCACTGTCAGTTAGAACACTTAAAGCTGCACTAACTTACTAACTGATTTTCGAATGTGAGAGCTGGCCACAACCGGTAACGAAGACACGGGAAGCTTCAGGTTAGCCTCTGTCACTTGTACTAACAGAGACCTGTGGCTTTTCTCAAGAAAGTGGGGGCCAGTAGTCCGCTGTGATTGGTCACAATCTGGTCCCGAAACAAATTGCACAAAAACTCGATCTAAAATAAAATAGAGCATTGGCCTAGAGCATTGGCCTTAAGGCCAGAAGGGTGTGGGTTCAATTCCCACCTCTGCACCTTCTCCACCGACTCCCACTGATGACTGCTGTCGTTGTGTCCTTGGGCAAGACACTTAACCCCACTTTGCCCAAAAAGCCCCCACTGAAAGATCAAGGCTATGCTCACACTCAGAGAGCAGCCGTCCTCCTGTGGACTCACCACCTGCAGAGGGTCAGTGAGGGGCTGGTGCTATGAGACTTGGGTGGCATCTCTGATTGCCACCCCCCTGACCCAGAAATGGATTAAAGGGTAGAAAATGGATGGATGGATGGATGGATGACAACACAAATCCAAGTACTTTTTCTTCAAAAGGACGTATATCCCGATGCACTGCATGGATATGGATTGAATTTCCGTAATTAATACAAAAATAAAGTGAGGTAATGCAGCTTTAAGAACCAGCTCGGCCTGGATAGAACCAGGCCTAAGAGGGACTAGAGGACTTGGTCAAACTGGGCCAGCAGAAACACTCACAATTTGGGCAGAGTAGAGCAAATCAGAGTAGAGTAGAGAGAAGTAGAGCAGACAAGAGTAGAGTAGGGTGAAGGAGGGCTGGTGGAAACAAGGCTTTTTCTTTTCAACCATTGGGACCACACTAATATAATGAAAAGTAGCTAAAACTCTGCAACTAATGAAACAAAATGAAGTGAATACTATTGTGGACTTCAGATGTGGAGAGTCCTGCAGTGTCCAGTGCAAACACATTCAACTTTTTCAACTGTTTGGAGAGCGAAGAACAACCTGGCTCCATTCTTGTCAAAAATATCAACATTTCAAAGCCTGGAGTAGAGAAAGACCTCTCCTGCTACAATGTTTTGACAGTTTTTCGCACCTTGCTTTTGGCGGGCCGACTGACAGCTGCAGAACAGAGACGCACACTCTTCACGCCCTTTATTTTACACCTCTCAAAGTCGAATTTCTCAGCGCAACCATGCTGTGAATATTATGGAAAGCCACGAGAACAAGCGTTTATTTCCTTTGTGTTTGTTCCCAGACTGTCTCGTCATCTCTGTGTGCTTCTTGATGTCCGTGAAAACAGGGCGCGCGCGTCTCGCATGTGATGCAACACTCAGGAATCCAGTGTAAACTCAAAATAAAGAAGCAAAAACATGCGTGTGATAGCAGCTTTAACGTACATTCAATTCATTTCATTTGGCTTAGCTCTAAATCACAAACGCAGTCATCTACTTTAAATGTTTACTAAGTGTACTTAGTGCACTTGAGAATAGTAGTCATTTTAGGACATTTTATGAGGATGTTTTTCGGAAACAGTATGAGAATTATTTTTATTGCAATTGTGAACAGGAAGTCACAAACTAGGAATTTGCTTTGGCTCAATGTGAATAACAAGTTGTAGGAATAAAAATTACTAATATACAAGTGCATTAAGACGGTCGTAAAGAGCAGGGGAGAGGGATGAGTTTTCAAGTATTCATGAGCCCGACGACAGGAAACTGTTCTTATGGCGGGAGGTTCTCCTGCATTTACCTTTATACTCATACAACTTGAGCAAATACCTAGTTTGTGATTCTGATTTACCACAAATCAGAGAATCAACCCGTTGGGATGACCACTGTCCAGAAAGGTCCCGGATCATCACTGTTCTTAGACCCTCCCACTTTGACAAGGAACAACTCAAAAAAGCAAAAGTGAGAAATCTCGGGGGGCCTTGTATTGAGAAAGGGATCTACTCCAAGGACTCAAAGATCTCAAGATTTAAACACCACAAAAGCATATCATAGTGTGGTGTGGTGTGATCAACAAATGCCTAAGTGAACCATCCCAATGTTTGCTTGTCCAAAATAAGATATTGTTTTAACTCAAGCTATATTTTCTACAGTCGCACACACTTCCTACAGCAACCTTAAGAGTGTCCCAGTTCTTCCTCTTATTCATTCACTGACCTTCATTTAAACAGGATAGTCCCACTGAGACTATTCGAGTGGGTTGTGTTTTTAGTGGCAGGGGGAAACCCGGAGCACTCTGAGGAAGCCCATGTAGACACCGAAGGTCATGGGAGTCAAACCCAGGATGCAAACTACTTAGCCACCGAACAGCATCTACTCACCCCCTCAAACTAGACCCCTGTCCTAGTTTGCAATAAAAAATAGTTTCGATTATTTAAATTCACAGTTTTTTTAATTTAACCACAAACAATCCAACTATTCTGAATCCACCGACAACATAGAGCAAGTTTGTGTGATCTTAACAACTGGCACAAAACTACATCAGGGAATTCCGCTCCAAGAACTCTTCAGAAATCATTCCAAAACATGTCCAAGGCCGCGCACCACCTCCACGCTTGCCGAGGTGCCATCGGCTTGCAACGCTTGTACTCCTTTCTCACACCCGCTTCCAAAAAACGCGAGAGACGGAGGCTTGCGGGGGTTCGACAAGACGTACACGCCTCCCAACAAAAGACTCTAAGCTCGCACTGGCATCGTCTGAAAGAATGAATCCAGCACATCAAAAGACAGAGCATGGGAACACAGCCGCGAGGGCCATGCCAGGCAAAACGCTCATTTCAAAAAGAATAATGCAATGATATAGCCATTAAATCTTAGGCTTGGCTCCCAGGGTGTTGCTTTGACCTCATTAGTGGTGACTTAATCGTTGGAGTTGTGGCTTTCTTCTATTCTTTCTCGCCCACTTTTGACGTAAGGAAAAATACAGAAATCCACACCGGGTAACCTACATGAGATGATGGATGTGAGCTCTGGTTACACTTAAGACGACATTAGTGTAGCCAGCAGCGTTTGGTAGATTGGACATGTTCTCGTCTATTTGACAACATTTTGCAAAGGATTTAAATTATTTAGGAATTTAAATTGTATACTCAACTGTGCAAGTTTCCAAATTCTAGGCAATAATTGATAAGAAAAAGATATTCTACATGTGAAGTGAAACTGTTGTCTTTATAGAATTATGGTGGTTGTACTTAAAGTAATGCATTAATCATTTTTTTCGGTTCAGCACCACTATCGTAAATACCAAGTCAGTCTGATGCATTAAATAGAATAAATGTAAAAAATAAAACATTGCTGTACCTGGTCCTGGGGTTAGTTCTAGTCCAGTCAGAGCTAAATCCTTCTAAACACCTTTTTGGACCAGGGCACACTTTTCAAACATGAAACTTTTATTATTATTATTTTGACGCTTCACATGTCGTTCTTCTTTCATTCCATACACGGTGTAGCCCGAGATGCTCTGGGGCACACTGACAGAATCTAGAGAACCAGTATGTGCCCTCTGACCACCACCAACCCTACGCGCGCACACACACACACACACACACACACACACACACACACACACACACACACACACACACACACACACACACACACACACACACACACACACACACACACACACACACACACACACACACACACACACACACACACACACACACACACACACACGTCAAAGTGTTTTGCCTAAGGACTCAACAACAGTTTGGCATTTTACAGACAAAACAGACCAGTTCAAAACATGGCTTTGGCAGAATACTGCCAAAGCCATACTGTAAATGGCGCAGGGTTGACATTTTTTGTATCAGGTCCGTTTAGTACAGGACTTGCACTGCTTGGAGCTTCCAGAGTGAAAGCAGGATTGTGAAAGTCTGAAAGTCTTTTAGAGTTACAGGATGGATTCCGAGGAGCCATCCTGCGCCGTGGCCCATGTCCTGAGTCTGGCAAACCGCTATGCAGCCCTCTCCACCGACATCCCGGCCCCCTCAGCAGAATCCCTGGACACTGCAGCGTACTCTACTGCTCGAGGATCCAAGTCCACTACGAGGAAAACGCTCCTAAAGGAAGCAGTCCTCAGGCGAAAGAGCGGTGCACCAGCCATGTTGGCCTGTTCCCCTTCTTTGACCCCAGTGCAGCAGCCTCAGACTGGGGTAGCGAGCCATCATTACCACCGCTCACCTCCACCGGGTCAGCAGCAGCGCCCAGAGCCAGCCCCTCTCACCGCTCCAGCGTCCCCGAGCACACAGCGTGGGTCGCCTGTAGCTGAGAGTCAGCACCCCCGCTCCTCCTCTCCATGTGTTCAGCGGCGCTCAGGCTCCGGTCCTGCTTCGGGTGAACCCGCTGGTTCCGTCCACCGAGCTCCTTCTCCGAGGCCACTCTTCGCCCCGACCACTCTGATTATTGGAGATTCCATCGTGAGACACGTCCGCTTCTTCAACGCGGTCACTCGCTGTATTCCCGGAGCTACTGTACCAGACCTGCTCATCCGTCTCCCTCCTCTGCTTCAGTCCCTGCCTGATACCGTTTCCAAGGTAGTCGTGCATGT